ATCGAGCAGAAACTTGTCATGGTATCAGAGCCCTAAAAATTACTTGTGCGTATGATTTCTGGTGTTGGCTCTCTGTTTATAGTAATCGGAGGTCTACATCTCAGGTGGTAGTCTGGCAAGCTGCAATCGCCTCTTTGTTCTTAGTAATCGACCATTGGAGCTCCCGTCTCACGTGTTCGTTCTCTGCCTCTGCATTCACTGCTTGATTCGAGTCAGCGTTTCTCGCGTGTCATTCTTAGGGGTTGAGTTTTCTGGGCTTCATAGTCTACTTCAACGTCGGTAAGTTCTTTGATTTTCTGGCTAATCTGGATTTTGGTCTTGGTCGAAGCAGTATCTTTGTTCCCCGTCGTCGGCTTTTTTTTTGAGCTTACTGTGAATTGGTTTTTTTTTTTATGTGATTGGAGTATAAATATGTGGTGGGTTTTTTAGTTTGTGTTGGGCTGATTGGGGGTTGCTTGTGTTGGGCCATTTAGTTTAATTAGCATTGTTGGGCTAGGGCAGTCAATTCCTTTAGTTGTTTGCATTGTTGGGCTTGGATACTTGTAACGCTGATTGGACAAAATCGACTTAATTTTTTGGCCGAACTATTCACGATTTCATTGTGTCAACTGAGAAGAATGAGTCTATTTGCATTCGCTTTACTGGGAAGAACTACTCTTCGTGGGCAAAACACTTTCAGTTATTGGTTGAAGGCAAATGTGATAAGTCGAGACATATTAATAGAAGTCTCTCGTCGTCTGATCAAGAAAAGGACAGGGAGAAGTACCTTGCCTGGAAAATCTAGGATTCTCGGATTGTGGCTTGGATCATTAGATCGGTTGATGCTCAAATTGTCCTTAATCTCAGGCTTTACAAGTCAGCTCGTACTATGTGAGACTACTTGAAGAAAATTTATACTCAAAGCAACAATGCTCCAAGGCTTTAATTGGAGTTTGAAGTGATAAATTTCTCTCAGAACTCTCGCTCTATTGAAAAATATTATGCTTCAGTATCACCGACAGTATGGAAGCTGTCCAAGTTGTGCATGAAGGCACCAAGAGGAATCAATTTCTCATGAAATTGCGAGCTGAATTTGAACCTATCAGGTCTAGTATTATGAATCGAGAATCTATTCTAACGTTGGATGAGGTCCAATTTTATGAATTGAGAATCTATTCCAACGTTGGATGGCTATTTGGGTAAATTGCTGAGGGAGGAACATCGTCTTATCACCCGTACCCTTTTAGAATAGCAGCAGAATCAGGTAGCACCGATTTCTGTTGCTTATGTGGCTCAAGGTAAATTCAAACCTCGGGACATATCTAGTGTGCAGTGTTACAACTGTAAGGGGTTTGGTCACATGGCTCTTCAATGTCCCAAAAATGTTTGCAATTATTGCAAGAAGACTGAACATGTCATCAATGAGTGTTCTATTTGCCCTCCACGCAAGACTGGAACAAGTTATGTTGCTGTTGCCACTTTAGCCTCTAGTTCTACATTGCCACATGCACTCGCTCAAGTTCCAGCCTCTCCAAGTCCCGTCCAAAACTCCATCATTCCTGAGATGATCCAACAAATGGTCATTTCTTCTTTATCTGCCTTAGGTATCTCAGGTAATTCATCAATTACATCTTCTTCTTGGTTATTAGATCCAGGTGCTTCTAATCATATGACTCATAATCTTCTGTTGCTTAGTAACCTTAGACCATACACTGGACATCTCAATATACACATTGCCGATGGTTACACTCTTGCTATTAACCGTGGGTGACATATCACCAAATTTACCTAATATTTTGGTCTTTTCTAGTTTATTAATATACACATTGCCGATGGTCAACTTGTTGATAATAATTGCATTGTGTCCTTTTCTTCTTCTAGTTGTCATGTGCAAGATCAGGTCGGGAGGACGATTGTGAGGGGTTCTAAGGAGGGACATCTTTTTCCTATTTCACCAAAGTCTTTCATTTTTTCCTATTGTTTGTAATTCTGCTACTTTTGATATTTTTGATTGGAATAAGAAATTGGGTTATCCTAATTCAAATGTGTTACAACACTTGTTAAAAACTCTGGTTTTTCTTGGTAATAAGGATTTTGCTTAGGTTTCATCTATTTCTCTTGATTGTGCTTCATGTAAACTCGTTAAAAGTAAGGTTTTACCGTTCCCATTTCATGGTTCTCATGTTTTGCGTATTTCGATATTGTTTATAGTGATGTGTGGAGTCTTGTACCTATCGTATCTTAGGGATGGCAATGGGGCCCCCCGCCCTGTTACCCATTTAAGGCGGGGCGGGCGGGGTCCTTGCCTCGTATATTACTCGTTAAATTTTTTTTTTTTGATAATTTATTTTTATTGCCCATATTCATTAGATTTAGACAAATAATTTTAGTTGATATTTTCTATGACAACTAATGAAATTTTGTAAAATTTTTCATTTAAAGTATTGAATTATATAAAAAAAAAATTTAATGGGGTGGGGCGGGGCACCCGTTACCCGTCCCCACCCCGGGGCAAAATCCCCCCCGCCTCGTTACCCGATTAAGCAGGTTATCCCCGCCCCGTTCGGGGAGGGGCCCCGCGGGTATCGGGTTTGTCGGGTTTTTTTGCCATCCCTATCATATCTCATGTTTATTATAAATACTTTGTTCCCTTCTACCCCTCAACAAAATGGGGTGGCAGAATGTAAGAACTGTCACCTTCTTGACATGGTTAGAGTTCTTCTAATTGAGTCTTTTGTTCCTTCTCGTTTTTGGTGTGAAGCCTTGTTTACAGCTGTTCATCTTATAAATCGTTTGCCTTCTTCACTTAATAACGTTTCTTCGTTTTATAAGCTCTTTGGTCAGCATCCCATATATTCTCATCTTCGACCCTTTAGGTGCGTGTGCTTTGTTCGCTTACAACCACATGAAAGGACAAAACTTACACCGTAATCTGTCAAGTGTTCCTTTCTGAGATATGGTGGGACTAAAAAGGGATATGTCTGTTATGATCCCAAGACACGAGTTAGGATATCTCGTAATGTTGTTTTCTTTGAAGAACAATATTTCTTTACTTCAGAAACTGTTATTCATCCTCGTGTGTTCTCTATTTTGCATGATTTTCCTATAGAATCCTCTCGGTACAAACAGGATCTTGTCTATATTCGTAGGCATGCTACTCCGGTCACTGCTCTCAAGCTTCCTTCTCAAACGACGATCCCTACAAGCCTTCTCGATCCTCCCCCTACAACATCTGATCCTTCACCAGATGATCTTTAGCCTCCTATCACTTTTCGTCGCAGTTCTCGTGTTCTTCAACCACCAGATATGTATGGTTTTCCTTCCTGCAGCTCTATATTGGCTACTCTTGACTCGATCTCCATTCATTCATCATATAGACTGTCTATGGAACAGGAGTGTTGGCATCTTGTGCCATGTCCAGAGGCCGTGAAACCTATTGGAAGTGAATGGGTATACTCGGTCAAACTTCGTTCTGATGGTTCTCTTGAGCGGTATAAAGCTCGATTGGTTGCCTTGGGTAATCGTCAGGAGTATGAAATCGACTTTGATGAGACATTTGCTCTTATGGCTAAAATGACCACTATTCGCCTCTTGTTCTTGCTTGCTGCATCTCGCGCTTAGTCTTTATATCAAATGGATGTA